CTTTCCCTTTGTACCTTCTAGGAGCTGTTCCAGGTGATCCACCCAGAACCCCGCTGGATAGGGCTGAGGAACAGAACTAACTATGGCTGGGCCTGGGAAGATGGGTCAACCTTCAATGTTAGGAAGTGAGTTTGGTGTCAATCAGTGTGTGTGCATGTCAGTGGTCCAAATCTTGTGATCCTTAGTGAATATTCTGTCTTTAAAAAGACAAACATTGCTACTGAGGTCAAAGAAAGAATTTCTACAATAACACAGGCTTAAAACTGTTTAAATGTTCCAGGATTTGTTTAGTGGCCTGATAGTAATAATGATATGACCATATGCCAGCACCTTCCAGCCAGACATCAATTAATAGCATTTTTAATAGTTGGTATTGTTGCTATTAATATTGCTTATTTTCCGTGGCTAGGAAACTGAGGGAAACAGAAAAAACATGACATGCTGGGGGTTACCAGTGAGTGCTAGGCATAGCCAGCATTATAGTCCAGCCTTATGGTTGTGAGTACTCGGCACTGGCTGGTAGATTGTACTAACAGGCCACATCTACACATTGCCCTACTGCAAAACTGTTACTGCAACATACAAGTGGATTATTTTTAGCAGCTACTTTGCTGTAGTGGTGCATTGTAATGGGAGAGCGTGCCGCTACAGCAAAGTAGCTGCTTGTCACATGTAGACACCTGTGGATGCTACATTGCCATAGCACGTCGCTACGGCAGCATAGCATTACATGTACGCGTGCCCACAATGTACTATTTGTTTTCTCTATTGTGACTATACCCACTTTCTCTTGACTTCCAATGCAATGAGTCACCTCCTGTTCTGGGGTTTTTCACCCATCCCATAAGGTTGCCTCAGGTTACATAGATATATGTGTAGCCAAGGTAACATAGTTAGCTGTGTCAAGGGCAGCATGTGACACTGCTAACAGAATAACTGGGGCTTTATCTCATTATCATTTGCCTGTACATTTCTACTTCACCCGCTGCTGCCAGGTACTAGGAAACTTCTCTCTCTTACCTGAAAAGTTGTGAGTTTTAATTCTGCCTATTTTAGTAGAGTATCCATCTCTAATTCCCCTCCCTATGTGCATGTGCTTCTTGTAGAGTCACCATTAATAGACCTGTCCAGCTCTGTGGAGTCCTAATAAATGGTGCCTTCCAGGCTTCTAGCTGTGAAGTTCCTGCCCCATGGGTCTATGAGAAAGATATGAAGTAATCTCCTCCTGATTTCTTCCAGAGCACATCCATTGCTTGTACTTGTTGCATCCTGACTTCATGCCAAGAACACCCCTAAACATTTTTCCCCACAGAGCCATGCCTAATGATACTCCAAGGTTAGCAGTCTGCACTGCCCTGCTTTCTGTAATACTAAAGGTGATTAAAGGTAATTGCAGCTCAGGCTTTAAGACATACAACATTGATTCAATGTGCAGGGTGCTAAGCTTGTAAATTATACTGTAAATATCACATTCACCCACAACCCTATCTTCTTTTCAAAGATCTGTGACAAGAGGCAGAGACGATCTGAGCAGGGTGCAGGGCCCAGGGCAGATCGGCCTGTGTGGGGCCCCACCCCTGAATGCAAGAAAGCCGGTGGCAGATTCAGCAGTGGGGGGGTGCCGAGCGGCCAGACGTAAAGCCAGGGGCAGCATGGAGTTACTGCAGCCGCTCTGCTCGGCTCTGTGGGGGCCCCCAAAGTGCAGGGCCCAGGGCAGCCGCCCCAATTTGTGCCCCCCGTAGGGAGGGCTCTGGCAAGACAGCAGGTTCCTCTTTAACTTCCATAGCAGTTGTAGGCACCATGCCACTGAAACTGTCTCAGGGATTGACCCTTCAATGTTTTCATTGTTTTAAATTGGCTTCACACTCTGTGACCAAATAGAAGAAAAGACTGTGGGGACTCAATTTGGACAAAATCTGCAAAAATATGGTAAGACTGGAGCTGGCACCTTGCTTCAGGTGCGTAATTCAAGAAAGGAGGGTGAGGCACACAGGCACTCTCTATGTGAATCAAGAAAAGCTTGGTATCTCCAGTGAGCCTAGATGCAGTGTTATGAGGAAAGGCAGAGGTGGGGGAATTGGAGGGGAGTACTTAATGGAAACACTAACCACATCAGTGGGCGTGCCTACACAGGCATTAATGCGCCTTTTCTAATGTGCATTAAATTGAGTACCTCCAATGTGAGGTACTAAATTAATGTGCATTAGGCTGCACTAATGTTCAGTAGTGTATATGCATGCTTCTTAAAGTGACACTTAATGTGCAGTAGACTATTTTACTGAGCATAAGCGTAATGTCACAGTTTTTTATATGATGCTTAACGTACAGTAAAATAGTCTATTGCACATTAAAGTGTACACATAGACATGTCCAATGTCTCTGAACTCCTGTTTCTTCTTGGAATAAGGGCATCTGACTTAGAGATGCATGTTAGATGCCTCTATGTGCTCATAATTCAAACTGCCTAGTCCTCCTCAGAGGGTTACAATTTTTGGACTCCTGCTCTGTCAGGGAGACTGTCTTTTACTGGAGTCAGTATTTAATTAGCTGTTACTAAACACAGACATTAACACCATAGACCAAGCTTGCATAATTTTAGTTTAAAGATGAAAGTGCCTGCCTTTGCTTTGAGTGATCTGGATCTGGGTAGGTCTTCTCAAATTAGCAAACTATGAATTTCCTGTGCAGTTGCAGCCGGAGCATAAAAAAGCTCTGTCTTGTTTAGCACTTCCCATCTTCTACCAGGACAGTCAGAGGCAGACATCAGGTTCTTCCCTGAAGATTTAAGGGATCCAATCAGACATCATACAGATTCCAGCACTCCAGCCTCTTCGTAAATAACTGCAGGTAAAGTCAAATCTTCCATGGCCGGGTGCTTCTGGGATTATTATGATTAGGGTAAAATATTAATGTTAGAAGAATGCTATCTGAGCTTCCTGATTCAGGAAATAAGCAATAGAGCATTTTCTAGATATGTAGCTTTGAATTATTGTTCTATTTGTTTCCATTCAGAACAATCAGTAACCTAGAACGTTGGGATCATTGTCTTTCTCTTCCATTTCAAATCAAACTCTTATCACTTCAGCATCAGCCAGGGAAGATGGAAGATGTAATATATATGTGCATAGTAGCAAAGCACTTGATACTGATTCTCAAGAAAATATGTTTAAGAAAGCAGTTCACATTGGCTTTGCTGTATGTGAAGTTGTGTCTACCGAAACCAGTTCAAAGATGTAAACAGAGGGAAAAGGGAACAGACAGCACATATACCGTTGTGAAGAAGGTCCCTGGTGTAGCACCAAGGAGCACCGTGTTTCCTTAACATAGGTATTAACAGTCTTTAAAATGGGTAAATCATACGGTAATGAAATATTGAATGAGAAAAGTGTTTGAAAATTAAAAAGATCTAGTAATATATTGGAAAGGTCAGAGAAAAGGTAAACCAGAAGCAAAAGATCTAGAGAAATAAAATGATGTGTATCAAGAAGCTGAAAATATTGGACTAGGCACAAACTATGGTTGTTAACTAGTGAGGAAAGAGAGCAGTTAGGAGACTGAACCAGCCTACAATAGAAAAATGTAAAGCCTATGTAAAGCTCATGGGCTATATGCATCCTATAATAAAGTCCTCTGTGGTTCATGCTAAAATAGTTTTTTGTATTCTCTGCAACCTGATGGCACACAGAAAGAACAGAAGGAGAAGAGTAGGCAGACTGATTCCTAGAAGGGGATTAGTCAAGGAAGCAAAAATTAACCCTCCCTCCCCTCATGAATTGAATCCCCTCTCATTTACACCACATCAGTGGAGTTGCAGCTGACTCACCAGAGGAAGGCAAGAATTGGATTTTCACAATAAATGAGCTTCATCTTCAGTCAAGGAGCTACAGTTAAAACTTACAGGATTGGCTGTCATAATTATTTAGGGCATAAGATTATTATCAGAGGGATTGGTTTAGGGCCCTCTATAGGCAGCAGTAAATAAGAAGGTACAGGGCACGTCTACACAAGAAACTTACTTTGCAGTTGCCTAATTAACTGCATAGTAAACATCTTAGAATCTAAACATGTGCCCCTATTAAGACATGGGAAACTAATACACTCTGCAGTAGGTTAGAACTTGTAAATACAAGTCCTAACCTGCTGCAGAACTTTTTCCTGTGCAGCAGAGCACATGTAAATGCTTCCACAGCTGACTGGGGCACAGAAGAGGTGTGGGGCTAGCCAGAAGAGGTAAAAAAAAAACCACAGAAAAAAACCCCAGTGCAGCCCACGCTGGGGCAGCACACCCTTGCAGTGCAGAGAACACCAGACTGTGCAGTATCTAGCTGCAAGGCCATGATCATCTGGATGTGCTCCTGAAGTCAGGTATCTGAACTTCTGAGACGTGTAAGAGGTCAAATACACCCCTGGGTTTAATTTTGCCTATTAGCCTTTGAGCCTTTGGGCCTTTGAAAGCAGCTATTGCTCTCTGTATACAGTACCTAAGCACTTAAACATGATTTGCTCTTATGATCCTCTGAATTCTCTTTGTTGACTGTATATAGATGCTGTGTGCCTAACCTGGTCACAATGAATCATGTTCCAGAGCCAAAAGTTTAAGAGGAGAATCTTAAGAACATTAGCCTGAAGAATCAAAGAATCTTAACCTGTTTTTTATCTCCTCCTAGTTCCCTTCCTCCTAGTTGGGAGCCATTTCAAAAGGTAATGTTTGAAAAGGGCAGCAGCTGATATGTTTTAATTGCTATGAGTAAACAGACTAAGCACAATTCAAGTATAGCAAATTCCCTCCAAATTTAACTCTGTATGAAAGCATGTTAAAGCTGCTGCTCTTTTGAAAGGGTTCCAAATGTTCCTGTGTCCACACCTTCTTGGTGCACTGCCTGATCAGACAGGAATGAATGATTTGGTGAAGCTGGTATCTTCAGGACTGGAGATACATAATGGTTTTGCCAGTGCTGCTGCTGACAAATACCGTCCTAGTTCTGAGCCTGCTGAGCATATGTTTATAGAAAGTAGAACTAAGAAAAACCTCAGATCTGCTAGTCCATGTGCCAAGGGCCAGTTCAGGATGCTTCTCTGCAGTGTCTTCCTAGTGCTCTATGCAGTCACTGCTTTAAATTTCCAAGACTGGATCTTCAAGGCTTTACCTTAAGGAGACTGCTCCAAAACACTGGGAGACCCCTGTTTAGAGGTCTTAATGGTTGGAGTCGTACTCATTGTGTCAGAGCCACCAATTTTACAAAATTCAGCCTTTAAACAGCTGTGCTAAATTTAGGTTAATGCTATAGGCCTAAACTTCATTACTTTAACTCAAAGATGAAAGTATCTTTACTTTTAGTGTACAGGGTCTTCTCAAAAGAGCTGCCAATGAACCTTCTGCACTGTTTCAATCAGAATATATTTTCTTAACTTATTCAGTCCACCTTCTATCAGACAATAAGAGGACAGAGATGTCAGACTGCCACCAAAAGGATTTTCTGTAAGGGACCAGATCAGATAGGACACGGAAAAAACAATTTCAGCCCTCCACTCTCTTCCTAAATAACTACAGATACAAGCAAAGTTATTGGACCGCAATGCTTCTGTGGTTTTTATAAGTAAAATCTTACTATTGGGAAAATGTGTTTGGGTTTTTTAATTCACAAAATGGGTATAAATGTAATTGGATGTATAACTTTGGTTTTATTTCTGTGTAACATTCCATTTGAACCATACTTAAGGTACTTAAAAAACTGCAATCTTATCCCCTCTCAGTTCTCTCTTCTTTGACTAAATAAACGCAATTCCTTCAGCCTGTCCTCAGACATCATGGCATATGTCCCAGCCCGCTAACCATTTTTGTTTCCCTCTGCTGGACTCTTTCCAACTTGTCCATATACTTTTTATAATGGGGAACCCAAAACTGGACACACTACTCCAGATGTGGCCTCACCAGTGCAGAATAGAGCAGAATAATTACTTCCCTCAATCTGCTTGCAACGCTTCTACTAATGCAGCGCAGAGTGCTGTTAGCCTTCTTGGCAACAAGGGCACACTGTCTCATGTCCAGTGTATTGTCTACTGTAATCCCCAGGTCCTTTTCTGCAGAGCTGGTGCTTAGACCCATGGACTTGTACACAACCAGCTTTTCTAACCCATTCTTTCACCATTGAAGGCTCCTCAGCTTCTCCCCAAGCTGTGCTACCCAGTTCAGTAGTCTGGGAGTTGAACTTGCCTGTGAAGACGGAGGTAAAAAAAGCAGTAAGTACTTCAGTCTTTTCCACATCATAGATTTCATAGACATTAGGGCTGGAAGGGACCTCGGAAGATCATCGAGTCCAGCCCCCTGCCCAAAGGGCAGGAAGTCAGCTGGGTTCATAGGATCCCAGCAGGATGAGCATCCAGTTTGCTCTTGAAGGTGTTCAATGTAGGCGCTTGAACCACCTCCGGTGGCAGGCTGTTCCAGACCTTGGGGGCTCAGACAGTAAAGAAATTCTTCCTTATGTCCAGCCTGAAATGGTCTTGTAGTAGTTTATGACCATTTGACCTAGTCGTCATCCCTTGGGGCGCTCTGGTGAACAAACGTTCCCCCAGATACTGGTGGTCACCCCTGATAAACTTATAGGTGGCCATCAGATCACCCCTGAGCCTGCGCTTTTCCAGGCTAAAGAGCCCCAGGGCTCTCAGCCTGTCATCGTAGGGTCTGCTTCCCTGACCTCTGATCATGCGCATGGCTCTTCTCTGGACTCTCTCAAGCTTCTCCACATCCTTTTTGAATTGTGGAGCCCAAAACTGGACACAGTACTCCAGCTCCGGCCTCACTAAGGCCGAGTACAGGGGGAGAATGACGTCCCGGGATTTGCTTGAGAAGCATCTATGGATGCAAGCCAGCGTTTTGGTCACTTTACTAGCCGCCGCATCGCATTGCAGGCTCATGTTCATCTTGAGGTCAATGATGCCCCCCAAGTCTCTTTCTTCCATAGTGCTAGCCAACATAGCACTGCTGAGCCTATAAGGATGCTGCGGGTTTTT